CCCCCTGCACGCCGAGAAAACACTTCGATTCAAAGTCGACAAGTCAACACAGACAATGAATGCAACAAATGAAGATTTTGATGTCAAGGTATGAGTTAACTTTCCTCTCAAATTAATAAAAACAAAACAGAAACAAGTTTAAAAACACCACCAATAAAAAGCTGAAACTGAAATTAGGAAATGTGACATGTTTCTGCTTGTATAAAACAAAACTGTCCAATCACATTTGCAGACGATTATGCTGTTTTAATTGAAGTTTATGGACCCATTATCCAGAAAGATTTAATGTAAGACCAAGCAATTTATATTCATCATCGTTGATTATTTTGAATTAGAGATTTATGTGAATTAAGTTCTGGAAGTATCATGGTAAATAATTGCAGCAAAGCAATTTTCACAGTGTAGTAGAAAACAATCTTTACAGTCAGTGCTCATAAGTCCAATATAACACCAGTCCAAGATTTGCTGAGGCCCCTCGATTAGCTCATGCTTCATGTAAAAGCGACCTTTTATGTAAGTAGCGTATGAGAGGACCACAGGTGTTTGTTACAAATGTTTGAAATACACATATGCTATACTGATATGGGTCACAGCACACATAGACATACATGAGTATGTGTGAAACATAAACATAGGTTTATGTGTTTGACCCATATCAGTATAGCATATGTGTTTGACCCATATCAGTGTAGCATATGTGTATTCCAGGTTTCTGGTATGAACCCCCTGTAGTTTAACTCATCTTAAGAATAGTGCAACTGCCATATTTTTAGCTTAAAAGCTTTTTGGTCAAACAAAAAGTAAATGTTTTTCCTGTCATACTGTTAAGGGTTTATAGTCATAAAGTTCATTTTAACACAAATCTACTGTTAATTTTGGACCCTTTGGAACTTTGCATGCACCTTGTTGTATGTCGTACATGTATTAATACATTTTTTATTTCGAATTATAGATCACAGTCAAGTATGCACATGATAAGCGCTCAAAGAACTTAATTGCTGATCCAGAGAAATCTGCTATTAAAGCTATGCTGAACAACAAGTACCTGCAACAATTAATAAGCAATACAGTAAAAGTGACACATACAAGGAGGCCATGCTGGACATTGTGAAAAAGGCGATTGTAAAAGAAACAAGAGTGCTTGCTAAAAAATCCGGAGATGTGTTTCAAAATCATACTGCAGAAAATCTTCTTAACTTTGATTGGACAGCTGTTTCAAACCAGTTTCAAGCTAAAGCCCCTTATTTACATTCAATTTTCTGTGACGCTGATGGCCATGATTTGAAAAAAAATGCCATGTGCGATAACCTCTGCAGCCATATTAATATATTTACATTTGCATGGCATTGTCACTATATAGCCTCTTTGAAATCTGTGTCGTTGATGGGACTTTAATTACCATGCATCACGAGACAAAATTCTTAGCGTATTAATACAACATTGACCGGAACTAAAATATCTAAAATAAATAAACATGACGGCAGCTGAAATATCGCTGGGCATTGTGAGATTTGACAATGTCATTTTAAATTTATGTGCAAAATAAAAAATAAAATAAAAAAACACTTTTATTACAACGAAAACAAGACCAAGGTCTGCAATATCGTACAAAATGCACATCGGTTGAAATCACCAATGCCGGCAATGGAAACAATTTTAATGGAATGCAATTTATCAGAAATAACGTCTTTTACACTGCACTGATCAACATTTCAGACATTTGTAACGAACCTGTGCTATGTCGCAAGATCACTTACTTCAAACGCTATCAGTTTCACGCGTCTGGCATCCACGGTTCCTCAGTTTCAGGCGACATGTCAAATAACGACGCTGTTATAGAATCTACCGACTGTTGTCAGGTTCTCATATAATCAACAAATAAATTCAAAGAGAAAAGTTCGAATTAACTTCCATGTATTTGTCCATGCGCGAAATTTGTTCCGGGGGAAAATCGAAACAATTTCAAATCTAACTTTCAGCTCAGAGTTCTATAGATAAACTTAAATCACCCTATAGATGTATCATACGCAATTGTATTGATGCTGAATTGTGAAATAAAATTGAAGTGTTTGTTAAAATTTCAAAGTACTACTTCGTTTGCCAATCAGCACGCGACAATTCGCTGTTCAAACTATTGAACGAAATGGTGTGGACTGTCGATAAGGCGGGCATTTTTAATTTTGAATATAAATTATAAATTAAAAAAGAACATAAGAGGCAGAGAAAACGTAAATATAAGTATTTATAGCGCGCATTATGTTGTTTGCCTGCAAAGCTGTGTCATTCAAATAGATCATAAATACCATACAAAAACAGTTCAATGCTTAATTACACACGATCCCAAAGACTTAACCAACTGCCGTATATGAAAGGACTCATTGCTGACAAGTGTGGTATGACCAAAGAGGTAATAATGATGTAGTTGTGTGGGTCACAATTTGATGAATTCAATGTGAAAACTGGTTTATATAAGATTAGAAAAACAAGAAAACAATATATGAATTCACATGACATCATTAGCTACTGTGTTAATCATACAATAATAATTTTTTCAAAACTGTATACATAATAGGATTTTATTAGCTACAAAAAATGAAAATCTTCAGTGTTCATGAAGACGAATTATAATGCATTTTGATATTGATGTAGGAAATTCGAAATAAATTGACATGTGATTAAAATGTCATTTTACAGTGCCTTTTATATGCATTTTGTGAACCTAGCTCTTTCTTTTTTTTTGAAATTGTGTTTTTATGATATTTCTCAGTTTTATGATATAAGTTTTGAGGTAATTGGAAAATATGTAACTAACCATATAGCATTGACAAAAATAATATAAAATGAATAAGCAGCATGAAAAACAGAAACCTATGAAACTGAGAAACACTATTTTGCATGCATGAATTTTATGTTTTTTAATTTTCAATGTTGCATAATAAAGCAATCGGTCAAGTATACGTAGCAGCATCTAAAAACTCTGTCCATCATTAAATTGGCAATATAATTAGGTCTCTCACTGGTTCGGGGGGGGGGGGGGGGCTATAGGTTTGCACTCCGTCCGGGGCATATCTTCTATACTATTTCTCCTTGAGTAACTAGATTTGGCGTACAATTGCAAGGACATCTAGAGATGGCAGAGTGCAAAAGTATGTATCAGGATACTAAAACTCCTAACAGTAGGTTCATTCTGACATAAGTGTACTTTTTGTTAAATATGGAAATCACCCCAAACAGTAATATGTCAATAGACAATGTATAGCTAATTGGAGTTGAAATGTTATTTCACAGTGCCTTGTGCATTTTGTGAACCTAGCTCTTTTTTTTGAAATTGTGTTTTGATGATATTTCTCAGTTTTATGATTTACGGTAATTTGAAGAATTACTATCCATTGTCAGTTGCTATTGTAAACAATATAGATTTACAACACGTAGATTGAAATGTTTGGGTAATATGTAAATAACCATATAGCATTGACAAAAAAAAAATGAGTAAGCAGCAATTTAATTTGAGATTTCGACACTTTGTGATGGAGTAATGCAAGTAGTGTGCGAAAACATTGTCCATGCAACACCTTAACTAACATAATAATATTGCCAAACTTCTTTTAAACTCAAGGCTTCTTATTTGGCTAACGGTTAAACAAGAATTGTGGCCATAAGACTTTACCATCACCAGGAGCTTGTAAAATTTCACTTTTACGTTTCAGGGTATTTACCAACTTTTCTACAAAGAAAGTAGCTCCTCAGATATTGGGACTCTGTACCAGATTCGTAATGTTATCAACAGAAGAGATGTTTCAGGGTCTGATGAAGTCATCAATAAATTCAGGTACTTTATTAAAAGAAATATTATTAAAAATGTACCGATAGCAATAGTGATTTTAAAATTTAGAAGTACAATGTATGCAAATCCTCAAAATGAGGCATCAGGTTTGGCAAGTTTACAATAAAGAGTTCAATAGTTTATTTTGTATGCCCTTGTGTTTTTCTTGAAAAATGTTTGAAAACAAATGTTGCCTGTACATGGGCGTCCTTTATAAAATGAGAGTCACAGTGATCATAGATTTATTTTATAAGAGCAATCTAATAATGTATTAATTTTATTCTTCTACATTTTAGACCCCATCATCAGTTCATTGACGATGTTACAGATGGCTATAATGTGGAAGCATTCTTGGATGCCATGGACATGGATGAAATCAACCGTACACCATTATATGCTCCAGTGTTTTCCTTGCTGGATGATAAAGCCAAAACAGACTGTGTCCTCGGTGCCGCAAATAAAGTGAATGATACTTTAGGTTTCTGCAATTTTCGGACAATAACCGTAATGCGTGAAGACTTGCAGGCATTACAGCACAATGATTCCCAGTTGGAAGCCATGAAACATGGGGACATTTTTGAATGTGCCCTTTGTGATAAAACATACATAAAGTCTGGATGGTTTAAGAAACATTTAGAGAAAAGGCACAGCTGGAAATTTCATAGTGTTCAAAGCAAAGATGCAGATTTAAATCCTGTTCAGAGTTTTCTGCTCATATCTTTCTTGCTCAGAGATTCATGCGACGCCTTCAAAATGGGTGATGGTGACAGGATTGTAAGGAACGCTTATTTGGAATGGCTGTATGCTTCTGCCGTAAGACACATAAAATATAGACTCTGGCTTTGGCGAATGATTTCTTATGCTATTGCTATCCTCGATACCAAAGACAGCTTTGAGTATAAGTGGAACATGACTGTAAACTTACCAGGTGAAATTCAAAATAATATTCCGAATGATAATTGTGTAGAAATACAAGTACATAACATCAAAAGGCAACTAAACACACAAGGTGCAAACAAATCTTTCAAATCCGCGAAACAAATTTGTATGACAACGCAAGTTATAGATGGAATAAAAGAACAGTTAATGAAAACAACTGAAACTGTGAAACCAAGAGTTGCAAGACCAACAGCTGACAAAACAAAAGATGTTGTTATGATTGTGCAAAACCTGCGACAAAAGGGACAAGTGAAAGATTTGACATGGGAAAGTTTCTCTAATTTCAAAGAGCCGTTGAATCGCATTAGTAGTATGGACATACATGACTGGATAAACACACAAAGGAGAATTGCAAGTTTTTACATGTAATAAATGGAATCCAAATTTATGTTAAGTTCTCTACATGTAAATTTCATGTGGAAAATCAAATGCACAAGTATCTTGGTACTGTATATATACATTCACTCGAGTATTTTTAAGAAATACTTTGTCTATTCAATCTTCTTTGAATACCCAAGGATGATTTTATCTTAAAATTTGGAATCTGACTATTCAAGCGTAATATTTAAAAAGGTAGGGTCAACGATCATATTTCCTGCTCAGCACACCAGTCGATACAGTTGTATGTGAAGTCACTGTCATGCATCAGAGTGACCTGGAAAGTCATTTACTAAATATAGATGAAAATGCAAACTACTTTTGAATTGTTTACCAAAATTACCTTTAATGTGTAGAAATTAGACACTTTCATCTAAGATATAGTGTTGAAAAGCTATTTCTTACATATATTTTGGTCTATATATACATGTATGCTAAAATGCATCATATTTTTGTAATATTGTATCTGTTGATTCTGACAGCAAAATTACAGTACTTAATAGTCCTTTGTCATATTTGAATAAAACCCTGAAGAACTGCTATTTGATTTCATATGGCCTTGTGTCCTTAATTAAAAATATTTTAAAATGAAACACAAAAATGATTGATGTCATAATGGCATTATGCATTTATTTAATCAGAATTTTCAGCTTCTTCAGAAACATGTCATCAGAATGGTCAGTGTCAGAATCTGATAAAAACACTGATAACTTGTATTTAATAAATGGATGCACAAAATTTGAACAGTCATTGTCATTACAACTACATTTGACATCACAAATGTCACAGCACACATGTTTCACTCTATTAGGATTGGATTCAGATTTGTAGGCAGAAAGTATGATATCTCTACGACATGTCTCTTTATTTTGAACATAGATTTTCATATCATCATCCAATTTTCTACACTGTTTGCAATTAAAAAGTAACAAGGACATGGCAACTTATCCATCACGACCTGCTCTACCAAACTGCTGGACAATTCCATCCATATCTTTGGGAGGTCCAAAGTTGATAACATGTTTTACAGATATAAAATTGACCCACATTCCTGCTGCACTTGTAGCAACTAAAACTCTTATATTTCCACTTTCAATACTCATGTCTTCTTTGATCTTATCTTTAACAGCTTCTGATGTTTGTGAGTGAAACATGTCAACATACATGATAAGATGTCCCAATTCCATCCTCAGAGTAGAAAATAAGTCACTGCATGTCTTAATTGATGGACAGAATATCAAAAAACGTTCACAATTTTCTCTTAAATAGAAAATATCACAAAGTGGTACAGTACTCTTAAATTTATGAACAAACAGTTAGATATTTTCTCTATCTGGATTTTGTACAATTTCATGACAGTCCACCATACAAAACATTTTCTGCATTTCCTTTCTTGCTGATCTGTTAGCTGTTGCAGTTATCAACAGGACAGGGCATTCTATGAGGGATCTGATTTCGCCTAGCTTACTGTACCATAGCCGGAAAGGCTCCATCTATGTTTCACTTTCACCCCTGAAGTAAAAAAAAAATGCTATGTTTTTAATATACGTATTGACCCTTGTCATTAGTGAAGAAAAACACATCCTGTAAATACACAAATAACAATGGTGTATTTTTGAATAGGAGGTATACGATAATTTTTTGTTTCGTTATTACACTTTTTCATATTAAAAACATATTATTATAAAGCACTGATTTATTAATTTAAAATTAATCACAAGGTCAGACAGAATGTCTTGATTTCTGCGTGTGAACATTAAAATTTACTTACCGATGCAATATCGTATGTGCCTCGTCAACAACAAACAGTTTGAAGTGTTTACTAGCGGCCAGCATGTCCCTCCAATTATTCACTAACAAAATGGATTCGGGTGAGGCAAATAGAAACTGGAAGCAACCACTTAAAATGTCTATGTCTTCGTTACAATCTTTAATAATGTACGTAGCTGTAAAATCACATGATACAAGGTATTCACACTGTTCCTCCATTATAGAAATCAACGGCGAAACGACAAGCACACTGCATTCGCATCCGTTAATTTTCGTCCACATTGGCTGAAAACCTTCAAAGCAAATACTTTTGCCGCCTCCTGTTTTGATTGATAAAAAGGAATCTCGAACTTTCAACAGCTGGGTTATTGTTTCCTCTTGAAATGGCTTTAATTGATCCAAATGTAGTTTTTCACGCACAATCGAAAAGTTGTCGGCCATCTTTGTGGTGTTTCCGAACATGAATACGTAACGCGAATTCTGATTGGTTAGAGTTTCCATCGAGAAACTGTACTGGAACCAATCAAATGATCCGCGCATATTAATTACACACGACGTTTTTTCGGCCAGTTTGCCCACGGGTGATAAGTGAGTACCGAAGCAAAATCAACCGTGGGTATCCGACGATGCATTTCCCCAAGAGGTGATTAGTCTGTCTGTAGCAGCTGCATATCTCTGTCTGTTTGTAAGCCTGTCCTTACCCTCATCAGTATATCACTGTGTGTGACATCATCTTTTTGCCTCATATTTTCATTTAGTTATACCATGGTAAAAAAATCTCTCCATTTGTGTATGTGTTCTGGAGCTCCAGTGAAAGTGAATTTACTAGGAGAAACTGGAGGAAGCTGGAAGAAATCCCCAAGAGCTATAATATTTAAATTACCAAACAAACATTCCTCTCCAACACCTTTCAAATCGTTCAAACGTTGGTGTATATGCTGAAACATTTGATATGATAACATACTTATTTCATCAATGATCACAGTATTTGTATTTCTGTAGGTTTCACGCACGTTCACCTTTATGGGGTACATATTTGGGATATGGCCCATGCTGAACTGGGATGTTCAAAGCTTTGTGTACTGTCAATCCTTGAACATTAAAGGCAGCCATGGCTGTAGGTGCCATCACAGCAACTGCAGGATAATTCCGTGTCAGTAGGCTAAGAGAGTAACGATTAATTAACTCCCGTATCAACTGTATCAGAAGTGATTTTCCAGTACCACCCGGTCCACTTATAAAAAGATGGAAGGGCCCAGGTTTATCTGAAGACTGTCTTTAAAAGAAAAGTTGCAAATCTTCAAAATGATTCCTGACAATTTTAAAAGCATTTGATTGTCCTCTGTTGAGATTCTGTATCCTTTCATAATACTGAGAGTCATGTATTCTTGTACAATATCCTGAAGCAATTCTGGAGGAATGTCCATGAGAATTATGTTGTCTGGATCCGCTCTGATAACATTCTACATATCCGGAATGTTATTATCTAGAGCATCTACATTGGGAGCAACAACTGGCCATGGAGCAATGTATTTGTTCATTACAATATCATAAAAAATTTGAATCTGTTTAATTGTAATCTCAATCTCTATTGCATGCTCATTTCTACTTGGACATTGTAACAGATGAGAGCATTCTCTGAATTTGTCTTCAGCACTGTTAAATCCGCACAACAACCTGTTTTCCTGTCGCCAGGGAAGATGTAAAAGAAGTAAAGAATAGAAGAACAAATCGCCATCCTTTTCGACCAGCATTTCTTCTTTTCTCTTTCGAACATACCCTGCCTTATTGAGAAGTTTAATGCGGTTTTCAGATTTCATCTTTGTAGCACCAACAAACCATGAAGCAAAATGAAAGAGGTCATTGTCTCAAATTCAGGTGTTTGTTGTCGGTTTTCATATCTGTGAAATATGTTTGAACAGAAGATTTTTTCGCTGTTATCTTGCAAAGTTTCCAATCTCTTTCGAGGCCTCAGAAGCCCACTTCTCAAAGATTTCGGTCTAGAATTGATGAACAATGTCTGCCTGGAAGATCCTCTTAAAGCCAAACCACACATGTTAAAGGCTGCTTCTTGGGCACTAAGTTGCCTGTGAGTAAGGAAGACATTGCCTATACAACTAAGATTCTGCAGTGTAGATGCCTGTGGTGGAAGTTTTGCAATTGCTTCTCTTGCAGCTTTTCCTACTTTGTCACGCTCTGGCTTGCAAATATATGAAAAAACATATTTCGCTGCTCCATATACAGATCCAACTAGTTGGATATTCATATTTGCATTCCACACTCGCAATATATCTGCATCATATGCATTTATGTTTTCGGAACCAGGATAACGCTTCAGAGGATAGCAATGAGAGATGGATTCATTTGGTCCATTTTTGTCATTACTGTTGTAGAAACCAATGGTTTTGGAAATCCAAAGCGGCAGCCATCTTTGCATCCTCTTTCATTTTTACTGAATGCTTGTTGCGTTTGTAAAGCCTGAACTCTTTTCCTCATCATTTGATCATTTTTAGGAACTTCAGTTGTAATGTACTTGTCGATTAATGTTGGCGCCATCTGCCTGCCTTCCTCTGTGTCCAAATTCGGAGCATCTTTTATCCACCACAGTGAATGTAAATGTGGAGATCCCCTCACCTGGAACTCAATGCGCCAAAAGTAGTCAGTAACTTTACCAAGAGGTTCTTCATAGGTTAAAAGGTAAGAATGAATCAAATAATGAACTCTCCGGGAAAAGTGTCGAGCTGTGGTTATTGGGTTGGCTACCATTAAAGATCTCTTTTCTTTTCGGGAAAGTCTTGCAATGTCCTCCTTGGAATGTGGCATTTTATGTTGCTGAAGTAAAACAAACATTAGGTCATCCCAATTCATGTTATTTGCACTCAGTGTTAGAAACCATGTCATAGGCCCTTTAGCATCTATCAAAATTAAAAGATCCATCTTTGAAGCATTCCAGTAAGCTGATGAACCACGGATACCCTTCATGAACCCTTAAAAATGCTCTGGATAATCCGGATTGCTACACAAATCTTCCCTGACAGACTTTGCAGTTAGGTTTTCTGTACGTTTTTGAGTTTTTGAAGATCGTATTCTTTCAGCAATGAGACTGCCTTTGTGAGTTTCTTTTTTTCAGTGATATTAGTTGCCAAGAAAAGATAAGATAAATCTGATTGCCATCTAGTGTCGAAGACATTGAACGCGCTTGAAAGTATTGCAAAACTATGAGATTTTTTTTTCGGGGTGATCTCAAACCATTATTTCCCTTCGGATATAACGCAGGAAATGCCAACTGCTCTATAAACACATCAGTAAAGAGATTGATCGGAGCATTGATGTTTTTAGGGATCTGCTGAGTGGGTAACTGTGACAGGTGTCGGTCATCAACAAAATGTCTACAGTTAATTTTTTCGGTAGCACTGGAGCAACATGAATGACAGAGCTTTCTGGCAGCAAATCTTTAAACAATTTTTGTCTCCATCTTTGAAATCTAAATTCACAATATGAGGAGTACTAGTTGTTGATTCATATACTGGAAGATCAATGTTAGAATACAAAGGATTATGGCATTTAAGCCATTTCAATGCCTTTATGACTTTCTCAGTGTCAACAATATATTCTGTTGGTACTGTGCATTCTTTCTAACCATGAACTTGCACAAGGACTAAGCCACAGTGAGTAAAATTGTCAACTTGTTCTTGAATGTCATATGGGAAGTTTGTACATATCGTAGAATAACCACTTTCATATATGCATGAGCAAGTGAAATCATTTTCTTTTCTGCCACATTCAGGTTTATCAACACAAGTGGAACTTCACCAGCTTTTAAATAGTTCTGCAAACAAAGTGGAGGCATTTGTTTTTTTTACATGGAGTTTGAGCATTTTGTGCACAGTGTAACATTTGCACCAACTTCTGGACCCAAATCTCGTAAAATCTCTTTCCATGAGAGTTTCATTATATGGTATTGAACTGTAGTAGAATAAAACATTTTACTGCAAGATGCACATTCGTGGCTAGGCCCATCCATAATTTTCTCTAAAAATCTTCTTCCGGGAGTCTCACCAGCAGTCTTCAGATTTCTTATTCTAGGTTTCCAATTTTTGTCATTCCTAATATTTGCATATGAACCATCCTGCACCATTGACACAGTGACCATCGTCTCAACTCTGCATGATTTGGATTTCTTCACTGGTGACTCTGTCTCTTCTTCGTGCCAGTCAATCTGACTGAAATTTGTGATGTAATGGAGGAGGAAGTTGGCAGTTACACAAATTGTTTGGTCTGACATACATGTAGTGATCACTTGTATTGACCAGTGTCACATATAGACAGGAAGGAAATGGGTTTTGCACACAAAATCTTGGAAGAAATCTCTGCCAAGATATGGTATTGCCAAACCTGCAGAGGATACTTGAAGTAAAGTACTTGAATTAAAGTTGCAGTCACTTCAATTTCTACTTCTGAAGCCCAAGATGACAAAAGTCCATTGGGACAAAACATGTTTGATATATACCTGTCAACTGTATATTGTGGGTGACTGTGGTTAATATCTTGCTGAAATACATTGATATGCTCTACCATGAAGGATACAATCTTGTTTCTGATGTACAAATGAAAATCTTCAACATTGAACAAATGCAAACTTAGACACCTGAAATAACAGTTTCCATCAACCACTGTGTTTTGTACATATCTTTGGTCTTGTTGAATTATGTTATTGAAGTGT